CAGCTGACAGCCAGCCAATCCCCTGCACACTCAGGCCTCAGTGTCCTGCACACAACCGCTGACTTTTTGGTGTTGACCAGGAAAATTCCGAGTAGCCAACACAAGACTTCACATCTTCCTCTCAAATGGGCTCTAGTTTTTCCCCTGCCCCCCTATAATCTCTAGATAATGGTCTGGTAATTTTCCTAGTTAGTTAGCTTTAAAAATTTGAGGCCTCCTGTTACTTTAGCCGCCACGGTGCCATTCTCTTGGACTTGTGCTGGGCCTCTTATCTTTCAGGTATTTTAGTGCAGTTTTAGGCTTCAGCAGGTCCCCTCCCCCTCCACCTGTGTCAGGGCACTTGCCTCCCGTGTCCAGGTCTCGGCCCCAGATACACCTGCCCTCTGGTCATAGTCAGCTCGGCACCTCCGGGATAAGCCAGGCGGGGTTGCGAAGTCTGTGGCCCGCAGTCTGCAGGGGATCGAGCAGGCCACACAGAAGTCCAGTTGACCTCTGAGCAGTGATGGAGTGGGGGAGCTGATCTCCCACATAGTTGAAATTCCAAATATGACTTTTGACTCCCCCACAGTTTAACTTGTAATAGCCTGCTGCAGGCGGGAACCTTACCGGCAGCATGCAGACCGTTAGTACGTACCCTGCATGTTACATGAATTGCAGGCAGAATTCTACAGTCAGGTAAGCTGGAGGGAAAAGAGTGTTACTAAGGAAATCCCCAGGAAGAAAGTATGGACAGTACTGTGTTGAGGTTATCAACACTTTTAAGTGCACATCATCGGTTCACAAGAAAATCCGAGTATCACTGGATCCTTACAAGTCCAAACTATGTCTTTCAGGGGCCAGCTATACACAGAAAGCTCATAGAAACTTTATAAAACCACAGTTCAGTGTTTTTTTTTTTTAATTATTTATTTATGGGGCCCTCCCTGGTGCGCAGCGGGTTAAAGCACAGCACTAAGAAGCCTAAGCCACTTCCGCATGAGTTCGATCCCCGCCTGCCCCTGAGGAGACCACATGGCGTGGCAGACCTCTCCGGACCCGCCCGCTGCTCCCCTCAGCAGTGTGCTTCGTCGATCTGCCTATTCTGCTCCCCACTCTGTCCCTGGTGAAGCCTCTCACCCTGCGCATCTCTGGCCTGTACCCCAGTACTCTATGAATAAATAAATAAATCTTTAAAAAAAATTTATTTATGTACACAAAAACTGGGGTTACAGGCCAGAACTGTGGGGGTGGAGGTGAGAGATTCGCCAGAGACAGAGTGGGGAGCAGATCAGGTGGATCTCCTGAAACACACTGCTGAGGGGAGCAGCGGGCACGTCAGGTCTGCGGCGCCCAGTGGGTCACTCCCTGGTAGGGATCAAACGTGTCCTCGTGTTGCAGTGGCTGCGGGCAGCTTCATGTGTGCAGTGCCTTAAGCCGTTGCACCACCAGGGAGGGCCCAGAGTTCAAAGCTTTTTAATCTTTGTGATGAAGGGTGCTGCCATTTTCTTCCCAGAAATTGTTGAGAATGAGTCTCTCTCTCTCCCCTGGAAAATTCATGTACAAAATTATTTGTGACTTACCACAGTCACCACATTGGTGATTGGTCATAGTTGGCTGAGTGTGGAATAAAAGGATCATAAAATAAAATGATAAAGTAAAATGTCTGGAACTGAGACTACTGGAGCTGTTTACCCTTTGCAACCCTGGCGTTTGCCTGCTTCCTTGGGTCATATTTCTTAACTAACCAGAAACCACAGCTGCCATAAAGCTCCAGATACCTGGTCATGTGAAGAAGTCTCACAGTGGTTGGGAGTTCTGCCATCCTGGGGGGAAGAGCCGGTGGGAGGTGGGGGGTGGCAGAAGAATTGCCAGTGGAGCAGAAGCAAGATGCGCCCCCACGTCAGTGGGTTGATGTGGGACGATGAACATACATCTGCTGAAATCAGTTTCATCTCATCGTGACTGGAGGAGGAAAGGGTGTTGCGGTGTGAGTAGCTGTCAGAACAGGTGAAGGACAGAGAATAGCGGTCAAGGGTAGAGGATTCTTTCATGTAGCTGAAGGTCACAACCCCGTGCGAGATGGTGGAGAGAGCTGGACTCCAGCATCTTCCTGGGCAGGGGCTTCCCCTGGCCTCCTATGAGCCTTGGTGGGTTCTCTTCCCCAAGGAAGCTTGCCCAGTCCTCTCATGGGCTTTTTATAGCCTCTTAGTTTCTCCCAAATATCTAGAGAATTCTGGCCACGGGCCTGCCTGCTAGTTATAACCCTGGCACATTTCTCCATTTACCTGATACCAGGTGGACTGAAGATGAGTTTCCCAGGCTAGCTGCCCCTCCTCCTCATGCGATAGACAGGCTCGGGCCTCAGCATGCAGCTGCTGTTGGATCCGGCGTCTTCACTGTGTCTTCACTGCCTGTGACCCCCTGGGCTGTGGGGGACATGCCTGCCTCTGGGGTGTGGTCACAGCCGCAGCCCGAGCTCAGCACTGCCCTTCGTGGCAAAGCCAGACAGCAGCCGGCCTAAGGATGGTGTGACAGGATCTGGGGGAGCCCCTTCCCAGCTCACGCCAGCCCCCTTCCGGCACCCTGAAGCTAGGAAGCATGCCTCCCACGCTCCAGGGCAGAAGGAAGAGTTAGGGCAGAGAGGAAGGACTTGAACCCCGACTCTGAAAGTGCCAGAAGTGTGGTGTCTCACTCAGGACTCTTGTCTCCTCCCTCCTCAGGGCCTGTTCCCCTGGGATCAGCCCCTCTCCAGGAAGAAAGCCCCAGAGACAAGGCAGCAGTACCTGGGTCTAACTCAGCCGGGTGCCAGGTGAGCAGGGCCCAGGCCACGGGAGCCTTGGCAGCAGCCCTCCCCCTCCGGCCTCCTCCTCCCGCACCTCGCGGGCTCGCACACGTCACTGGGCCCTCCGCTGGCACAGTCCCTCTGCCTTCCCCTGTCACAGCATCACCCACGACAGAGGCCGCATCCGGAGTCCATGCTGATCACAGGCCACTGCTTCGTCCTGCACGTGCTGGGGCCCGACCCGCCTCGGGGGTCAGGTTTGGACGGCACCTTCACTTGCCCAGTGCTCAGGGATGGAGTCTTCTGAGCATCTCTGATTCCTCTCCCCAGCTGACAGCCAGCCAATCCCCTGCACACTCAGGCCTCAGTGTCCTGCACACAACCGCTGACTTTTTGGTGTTGACCAGGAAAATTCCGAGTAGTCAACACAAGACTTCACATCTTCCTCTCAAATGGGCTCTAGTTTTTCCCCTGCCCCCCTATAGTCTCTAGATAATGGTCTGGTAATTTTCCTAGTTAGTTAGCTTTAAAAATTTGAGGCCTCCTCAGTCTGCTACTAAGTCACTTTTCATCTCCTTGCTCAGTCTTTTTTTTTAAAAGATGTATTTATGTATGCCTACAGAACTGGGGTACAGGCCAGAGGTGCAGGGGCGGTGAGAGGCTTCACCAGAGACAGTAGGGAGCAGAACAGGCAGATCGATGAAGTACACTGCTGAGGGGAGCAGCGGGCGGGTCAGGAGAGGTCTGCCACGCCATGTAGATCTCCTCCAGGGCAGGCGGGGATCGAACTCATGCGGAAGTGGCTTAGGCGTCTTAGTGCTGTGCTTTAACCCGCTGCGCCACCAGGGAGGGCCAGAAGAAGTAATTTTTTACAAGAGTAGTACTGGACACAGTTAGGCCAGATGCAGTGGTAAAGCCATCTGTACTAATGCGTAATCCACACACTTGAGCTGTGGAGGAGTAAGAGGATGGGAGAAGTCTAGGAAATGAAAAGAGGTTTGGTGGACATTAGGATGAAAACTAGTGCTGTGTCAAATAATAAAAGGCCAGGTGAAGAGAGGGAAATAACCTCAGTTGAAAACGGTGATGATGATGTAGGTTGAACTCAAAAGACACGTTGGACTCCACGCCCCCGGCACCGGTGACTGGTGTGACTTGGAAGCAGACATTAAGACGAGCTTGTGCAGGAGGAGCGAGGACTGTCTTAGGGGAAGGCCCCGTGAAGACAGCGACCCCAAGCCAGGTGCTGGTGGAGGGAGGGCGGTGGTGTGTCCCCGAGCCAAGGCCCCTAAGGCCTGCTGACAGCCCCCACAAACCGGGAGAGGTGTGGGAGTGACCCCCTGGCCTTGAGAGAGCGCATGCCCTGCCCAGGGGTCTTCGGTGTAGCCCTCAATACCCTTCACCGCCAGACCTCTTCTGGCCTCAGAGAACCTGAGACCGCTCTGCCTTGCAGGTGCCAGTGAAGGCTGAGGAGGAAGCCGCCTTTGTTGCAGAGGAAGGGCCGCCCCTGAGCCTGCCTCAGAGGAACCGCTGTGGGAGCTCTGCCTGGGAGAAGGCTGCCGGCCCCAGCCTGACGCGTAAGGACAGGCCTCTCTGGTCCCTTGCCAGTGCCCGCCTTTCCTGTCAGCAGTGTGACTTGGCCCTGGGAGCTCGCATTTCCTTGGGCCTCGCCCTCCCATCCTCGTCTGGCCTCTGCCTCCAGAGCCTCAGCCCCTGCCATTTTGCGTGCCTCCCAGTCACATTACCTTCCTTGGGCGCTGGGCGCTCAGCTTCTTGCTGTCGTCTTCTGTGGTCACCCCATACTCCCTGCATTCCTTAACGACGCCTCCTTTGCTGCTGGTTTCTCCCCATCAAGGGTGCCCTGTCACCCTTGAGACTTGTCACCTTGAGGCATACCCGGGAGCCCCAAGATTCCTCTGTCTGACCCTTCTTTAAAAGCTCAGCGGAAGTTCTCTTCGCCTTGGGAGACGCTGCTGTGCATGCGCACGTTACTTTAAATAAGCTTTGCCCCAGGAGGCCCTCCCCCAGCCTCTGCTCGCTGGCTCCCCACACTGCACACCTTATGCAGTGGCTGAGACTGCTTTCCTCAGGCACCCGTCAATTGTTTATTTAAATCCTGTTTTTCACTCCAGAGATTGTTTTTTCCTAAGTGCACATCACATGTGACATGTAAACTATTAATGTGTTATTTTAGCTGAAGGAGATGTGACTAAAGACAGATTGTTCGATGCAAAGCGAGAACCTTCTGAAGACACGGAGCAAGGTGCTGAGCCCTCGGGAACCTTCACCGGGTAAGTGTCCTTGGTGCTGAGTGGAACAGATTCTGCAGATGTGAGGAGAAATTGAAATGGAGCCGAGGACCCGGTTGTCCCAAGTCTGTTTCCCTGGGCAGGCTGAGAAGAGCCGCTGCCATTTCCCTGGTCGTACGGGGCCCAGCGAAGGCGTGACCTGGCGATGGACGGGCCCGTGCCGGGCCTGCAGGCCGTGCAGTTGCCCCCAAGCGGCACCCCCGTCCCAGCGTACCTGTCTGGTCACTCCACCCCTTGGCCCTGTGTCTTCGTGGAGCTGTTGATAGAGAAGGCAGAAGAGGGAGAGAAGCCCACTTGGCGAGAGGGTGACTGCAGGTGTGGCTGCAGGACGGGAAGAAAGTGGGGGCACAGAGTCTAGGAGTCTGCAGGGAGAGCATTTGGCGTAACGGCAGGATTCAGGAGGTGCCTGAAGTGAGCGACTCCGCGATGCTGGGTAGGTCACGTGCAGACACAGAAGGTCATGGGGATGATAAATGCTTCAGTGAGAAGGGGAAACTGCAGTAAATCATGTTAAAACAATAAATCATATTAAAACATTGCTACACTGCTTTTCTCACTTCCTACCTTCTGACTCCAAACCATTTATCACTAGGTTGCTAGTCAATGAAATGCCAGTTCCTACAGTTAGCAGAGAGTTGTGTATAGAGTGTTCCTCACCTTAGTCATTTTAGCTTGCTCCCTTGTCAACGCCGTAAAAATCAGGTCAAGGGCAGCAATTCAGAGTTCCTCTCTTGTTTCTCCTCACAGTAGTGTGTCTACCAGATGAATTGAAACTAGGAGAAGCTAAACCCTTCACGTTCCCCATTCTGTGGGAGGTGAGAGGAGTTCCCAGTAAATAACAGCCTCCTTGTTCAAGAACCAACTGATAGAGACACTGATAAGCCTAAGACATGGTTCCGGAAGCCCAAGCTACACCTGGTGGAGGTGCTTGGGCACAGGGCGGCAGAGGAACGAAGCCGACCTCCCTCAGCACAGGCCTGCGTGCAGGATGTGGGGCAAAGAGGAGCAGGGAGTGTCGGGAACTTGCTCCGACAAGGACAGTAGGAACTTCCTCCCTAACACTGCTGTTCCTCCACCCAGTTTAGCCACGGGTTGTGCCAGGTGGGGAGGGCAGGACTCTAGGGTCTGGACAAAGCCCTCCCTCCCTGTGGAAACTGACTGAAAGGTAACCCTGAGCAAACCAGAGCATCCCTCCGTGTCAGTGGGTCTACCCTTCACTAGCAAGCAAGACTGAGGATTTCTGTGCTCGTGTTCTCTCCTCCCCAGAGAGTGTGCACCCCAGCTCCCTGACAGTGCTCCTGTCCCTCCTGAGAGGTCACTCGCACACCTGAACCCTCTGAGGGGCCGGCACCAGGGGGACCTGTGGGCCCGGATGCACGTCTCATCTTTGGAATACGCCGCAGGAGACATCACCCGAAAGGGGAGGAGAAAAGACCAAGCCCGGGTGAGCGAGCTGCTGCAAGGCCTGGCGTTTTCTGACGACTCAGATGTGGAGCAAGAGGGCGCGCTGGCGAGCCGGCCTGCTCAAAAAAAGCGAAAGGTGGCAGCCGCCCCCAAGGAGAGCTGGGTCCGGAGAGACATCCGCTCCACGCTCCCTGGCTGGTCAGCCCTGGATACCAGGCTCTTGAGCCTCAAGAGTGAAAAGCTGAGCCCGGTAGAGCTCTTTGAGTTGTTTTTTGATGATGAAACTTTCAACTTGATCGTCAGTGAAACCAATAATTACGCTTTTCAGAAGAATGTGCACTTGGAAGTGACGGCACAGGAGATGCGGTGTGTGTTCGGCATCCTGCTTTTGAGCGGGGTGGTGCGGCACCCGCGGAGGGGGATGTACTGGGACGTGGCTGATGTCGACCAGGACCAGGCCAGAGAGGCAGTTAGGAGGGACAGGTTTGAGTTGATTTTGTCCTGCCTGCATTTTGCAGATAACGGCCACCTGGACCCAAACGATAAGTTTACGAAATTGAGGCCTCTCATAAAGCAAATGAACAAGAACTTCCTCCTGTATGCCCCCCTGGAAGAATACTACTGCGTTGATAAGACGATGTGTGAGTGCTTCGCCAGCGGCCAGTGCCCGGGCGGGAAACCCCTTCGGGTCGGCTATAAAATCTGGTGCGGCACGACCGCTCGGGGTTATCTGGTTTGGTTTGAGCCCTACCAAGAGGAGTCCGCTCTGGCCACCAGGGATCCTGAGCTCGGGCTAGGCGGCAACCTAGTGCTGAATTTTGCTGACGTCCTTTTGGAGAGAGGTCACTATCCCTATCACCTGTGCTTCGATGGCTTCTTCACGAGCGTCAAGCTGATGTCCACCTTGAAGAAGAAAGGGGTGAAGGCGACAGGAATAATTCAAGAGAACAGGACGGAAAAATGCCCCCTCATGGATGCAGAGCAAATGAAACAAACGGAGAAGGGGTATTTTGATTTCCGGGTGGAAGAAAACGAGGAGCTCATCGTGTGTCGCTGGCACGGCGAGGGCGTCGTCAGCCTGTGCTCCAACGCCGCGGGCATCGGGCCGGTCAGTGAGCTCGGCGGCCCGGCGGGCGGCGGGGAGGCCCCTCGCGTAAGCCGGCCGTCCATAGTGGCGCTGTATGCCGAGTGCCGCGGAGGGGTGGCCGAGATGGAGCGCACGGTCTCCAGGTACAAGGTGCGAATAAGGGGCAGGAAGTGGTACTCGGTTCTGGTGAACTACATGATCGACGCCGCTGTGGGCAACGCGTGGCAGCTGCACCGGGCCTGCAGCCCGGCCGCCTCGCTGGACCTCCTGGACTTCCGGAGACACGTGGCGCGCTTCTACCTGGAGCGCAGCGCCCACCTGCCAGACTAGGGCCTGGGCTCGGGCACAGCGCCGACCGCAGCAACAGACTTCACGAGAGGTCGTTCTTGCTCCCAGAGCAAACCTGGTGGACATGAGGAAATGAGGGGATAGGTCACTCATTTCCAAAGTCAGGTGTTTAGGTGAAGCTTCACACGCCAGGGCGCCTCTGTTAACGCTCAGCTTTGGTGTCCGATGTGGGCGATCGTTTGCTGAACAGATGCTGCCGCACTGGAAGTGTCATGAAAGCGGAGGATGGGCGTTGGGAGCGGGGCGCCCGCCTCCTTGGGCGGTGGTTTCCTCTGGACGGTGCCGTTCCTAAGATACGGGCAGTGTCGTGTGCCCGCGGGATGGTGCCAAGTCTGGTGCCAGCTGCTAAGACCGCCCGCAAGGCGGGGGGTGCCCCACACCTACGAGATGCGCCTGCTCACAGCTCCCGGGGCACAGCTCCTCGGGATGTGGGGGGGGGGGTCCCTCAAGCCAGAGGCCCTATAGCAGAGGCCCGGGGCTGCCTGTGGACCTCCTGGCGTGAAGGTTCTGGATTCCCGTGACCGTGTAAGGCTGCCGTTGTTCACCTTGGCTTGTCGCCCTTCTCCGTCCTGGAGGGAGCGGCCTGGCCACTGCAGGCTTCCCCGGCTCTCCATAGTTGTGCTGTTCTGACTTAGTAGCAGGTTCTTTCTGCCCGGGACCTGGGATTCAGGGAGACCACTCCCCCCCCGCCCCCCCTCCCCCCAGCACCTGGTCTTCAGAGGTAAGCCTAATTTAAAAAAAAAAAAAATCCAGCCAGACGTGTGTGTATACCACACCCGTGAGGAGGGATATGCAGAACAAAGAATTCTTACCCACCGATAGGAAAAGTTAAAAAGCTCAAAAGAAAACTAGACAGAGGATAGCAATGAGGCATTCACAGAGGACAAAGCGCAAAGGGCCAAGTGGCCTATGGATACGCAGCATTTCGTTAAAGGAACGTGACCTCCTGGTCACGCAGGAGGGCTGATGGTGTGGAAGCTTTTGGACAGAGCCAGCCATTCCCAGGACGTGGTCAGGTTACAGGAGGGGAAGGGTCAGTGCAGGCAGCAGCCAGCTCCAGGGTAAGCCCATCCCCCACACCCCAGTAGGCGCAGTCGGGGGAAGTGGAAGGCAGGAGCAGCTTGAGGAGAAACGACCCGACCCTGTCAGCCGGGCGCCAGCCCGCGGACCCTGGTCCAAAGGACTATTTTGAAGTCGTGACGTTAATCAGAGCTGGAAGGTGACAGGTGCCTTGGGTACGCCGCGATGAAAGGAGTCGGGTATTTATGGGCGAAGGTGCGCGGCTCTGCAAGTCTGCGCAGCAGCGAGTAGGGACAGGGACAGGTGACACGCCCTGGGGCTTGCTCCAGACTAGCCAGCGCGCTGGGAGAGCATGTTCTAGAAAGGAGGCTGGTGGCCGCTGTGCGCCTGCAGGTGGGCGCCAGCGCTGCGAGCCTTTATTTGTAGGAGGCGAGCCTTTATTTGTAGGAGGCGTCGTGGTTATCCCCCCCTCCCCAAACGCCGACTTGCTCCCCCCAGCAAGCCCAGTCAGCCCCCCGGGGCGAACAGAGAGCACCCACCCGGACTTGTACTGCGGGTGGAAACCTGGGACACCCCGCCCCGACCTGTCCTCATCCCCCCACCCCCTCTCCCCGCGCCGTTGGTTGGTTCTTCCGCCGCGTCTCTAGGCAACCAGGGCCTTGCATCTTGGTGGCTTCTCACTTCGGGTCCATCGCAGCTTCTGCCACAAAGAGACCAGTAGAACTCTGTCTAGAAGCAGCCTGGGATCATGTCTCAGAGTCCGAGCCCCACACCAGCCCCCGCTGACCACACATGGATTTCTGTTGGTGATCTGGGAGGCACCAAGAGAGTCAGGGAAGGGCTCCCCTGCTTGCCCTGTCTCCTGAGATCGTGCCCCTGGCCAGCCGGACTTCACCAGAGCAGAGAGGGCTACAGTCTCACAGCCAGAGAGTAACAGCCACACTGTGCTGCCGGGAAGCCGGTCCTGTCTCCCCTTCTCCGTCCCCCCTTTCCCAGCCCCTCTGTCTAGCAGGTCCCTTGCCTCCCAGGTACCTGCACTGCCCTCCTCCCTCCCCAGGGAGCCCAGCCACTTCTGCCACCCCTAATCCAGGTCATGCGCCTCCCCCAAGGCTTTTAGGACACAGCCCATCACTGAAAATTATTGCCCAGCCCTAGGTCAGTGGCATTGCCCAGTCGGTGGCATCGCCAGGCCTTGGTAAAGAGGTGGTGTTGATTTCCAGGTGGCGAAGCAGTTTCCAGGCACTGAGCAGGCAAGAGCACTGGCTGGGAGTCAGTCTGGAATCCGGGTTCCGTCGCCTCACCCGCAGGCAGGCACCCAAGTGACGCTTCAGGCGACTGATTTGGCTGGAGTCCGAGACAGGCAGTTAGCCAGGCTTCCTCGTTCCGGTGACTGAGAGCGGAGCCCAGTGGGGAGGCCTCCATACCTTGGGGCAAATCCATCTCCTGGAACTCCCTCCTTCCAGGTAGCACTGAGTAGACCCCTTCACCTCCAAATCTTTGCCCAAATGCTTCCAGGAGGAATCTGGCCCAGACCTCCTATGAAGCCCCACCCCTTTGTCCCTTCGCTCTCTGACCGGAAAGCATTTTGTCATCTCCCAACACACTGTGTCACTTACTGATGGTGCCTGTTCTCTCCTGCTGGACTGTCAACTGCCAGGGCCGGGGCTGGCCTGCTCTCCCTGGGCACCTGGCTTCTCCACAGCAGGCCCAGGAAGGCACAGGTGCAGTGGCTTTTCCCCAGTGTTGCCAAGAACTGCTCAGACTCCCCGGCAACCATGGGGCTGAATCTGCCTGTCAGAGGAGCGGACTCTGCCCTGCTCCCAAACCCACCTGCCTACTGCCCTTCGGAGCACTTCACACTCAGGTGAGGCAGGCGGGGTGGGGGGTCCCTGCAGGGAGGGTAGGCTTACGGTGCACCCCATGAGCCAGCAGACAGTGGGGCGCCATTCTGACCCTTTACACTGGAATCTAGCTGAACAAGATGCCAGGTGTGGTATAGTTGCTCTAAAACTCAGCAGGTGTCTGGATGATCTGATAACCTAGTGGTCCTAGTCACACATGAAATAACCAGGGGGCTTGGGGGTGATGATTCCTAAGCATAAGGAAAGACACACACACACACATGGGCACACATACATACACAAGGCTATGTACCTACACACCCACTGTCATGCGCCTTTATTTTTAAATAAACTCTTAAGGACAGGTTATTTTTATTTTTAAATAAACTCTTAAGGACCAGGATACTGTTAAGCTGAACTTTTATTTCCTGAACTTTTGTTTCCTGTCTTTGGAAATTCTGATTCAGCTTTTGACTGGAGAGATAAGACTATCAGCAGAGGCATTTAATGTCCTATTCAGTGTTAACACCGCGGCATAGTTCCACCTACAGTCTTCAGAGTTGAGGTCATCTGTAAATTGCAGTGCACAGTTACTGAGAGCTACTCTTTCAATGCTTCACAAGTCTGAATTGATTTAATCTTAGGTACTATATGAGAAGGGAACTCCTACTGATGGGGTGACTATAGCATGGGGGAATTTCAGTAAATTACCCAAAGTCACCAGCTCACAGATTTGGTGAACAGCTAGGCGGTTTGGTGCTGGAGCTTGTGAGCTAGGCCAGCGGCCTCAACCTGCTGGTCTCCCCCCACCAGCGACAATCAAGGCCAGAGGTTCCATCCCTCTATGGAGGCTGTTTGCAGTGGCGTTCAGAGCTGCTGGCTCACCTCCAGAAGGCAGTGGCAGATGTTGACAGCAGAGGCTCTGAGTAAAACAGGTACACTGTGAAGGTTTTAAAGTATCATCTTCATTATTTATCTCAAACTGGAAACCTTAAAGGTGGGAATGACCTCCACATAGAATCTGGAGTTTGACATCCTGTAGGACACGGACTGCTGCAGCATGGCGTCTACTCGTTTCACACTGACGCTGCCGCTGCCGGGTTAGCAAGTGTGCCATCCCTTCCAGTGAAAGCACCTATGGGATCAGCCCATCCTGCTCCTAGGAGAACCCAAGGGGATGACAACCTGCAGGAATGGGAGTGATTCTTCGCCCCGAAACTCTTAAGAATGTTTCAGCTATAACTTTTACAGAAAACAAAAAGCAAAAGAACATCCCCACCTCACCTCTGAGTACCTGTGCCCTTGCCCAATCTGAAAGTACACTGTCTCCTGAAATTCTGATTCAGAATTTGACTGCAGCCTTTGAGACTTGTTCAACATTCGAGATCATTCAAGAGCAGCCCCTCCACTCCAGCTGACTTGCAGGTAAGGCTTGGCTCCCACAGGGAAGACAGTCCAGGGATAGGGTAGATGGAGGCAGTCTGACCCCGCCCACATCCATCACCCACCTCAGGAACCCGGTACCTGACATGAAGACAATCTACACAGAACAAAACAACATAAATGTGATGAGGACAGAATACGCAACTTGAAAAATCTTACTTTCCAAGATGCCCCCACGTGGAGCCCTGGAGGATCCAGGGACTCAGTCCAATTTGGGCACCGTGTGGATTCTAAAATGCCTGATGAGGTTGCAGTGGTGGCTGAAGGCTTTCCCACACTCATCACACTCGTACGGTCTCTCGCCAGTGTGGCTCCGCTGATGCTTGATGAGGAGCGTTCGCCGACTGAAGCTTTTACTGCACTGACCACACTGGTAAGGCTTCTCACCCGTGTGGATTCGGAGGTGCTGGAAAAGCCCTGCATTCTGACTGAAGGCTTTGCCGCACTCCTTGCAGCGATAGCGCTTCTCGCCAGTGTGTATCCTCTGATGCTGAACGAGGTATGAGCTTAGGCGGAAAGCCTTCCCGCACTCTTCACATTCATACGGTTTTTCCCCCGTGTGGATTCTTCTGTGTCGAATGAGGCCATTGCTGGCACTGAAGGCTTTCCCACACTCCTTGCATTGATAGGGCTTCTCTCCCGTGTGGCTCCGCTGATGTTCAGTCAGGCCTGACCTCTGGCTGAAGGTCTTCCCACATTCTTCACATTCATATGGCTTCTCCCCAGTGTGGGTTCTTTGGTGCTGAACAAGAACTGAACTTTGAGTAAAGCTTTTCCCACATTCACTGCATCTATGGCATCTCTCTCCAGGCCGGTGTCCTCTCGGCTTTTCTACCCTGCTCTGGGGTTTACAAGATTCTCTGTACTTAGCATGCAAAGGGACATCTCTTTGGAGTCTGCTATTCCCCAAATATTCCATTTCTTTTAGGACTTCTTGTTTTGATGCCAACTCCCGATGTTCAGAAACAGTTTTGTCATCTACAATAATAAATGGATCAAACACGGTTTTATCTCTCTCCTTTATGAAGGAGTATAACCCACAGAATGGGGACTGGGCAGATGCACATCGGGCACATACACTGTAGGAATCACAACCAACAGTGTAATATAAAGAAAGGCTGAATGTGGATATTAAGACCAGCACAATAAGAGGTCATTGGTACTGCTGGAATGTGGTGGTGTGGGGGGGGGCGGGTTGCCCAGGGAAGGTGAGGCTCCCAGAAAGGAGTGAGGTATGCAAGGCAGCACTCAGAGTGCTTTGTACAAAGCAGGCATGGTTCTACGTGTTCTATTATATATATATATTCTCAGACACCTCTCTGACTGGGATACTATGTTTTCCCCCATTTGAAGATGCATAAGCTGAGGGCATAGGCAGGTTATCTGACCTGCCCAACATCACACAGTGCTAAATGGCTACACTTAAATTCCAACCAAGGGAATCTGGCTCCAGAGTTCAGTCTTAATATAACCCAGTGGAGCCACCAAAGGTCCCCTGAATAGGCCCATAACATCCTTACCTTGTTCTCCACATTTGTGGGGATCAAAGGGTTCACATTTGGGCTGTGTCACCATGGCCTGAAGCTGGATGGCTGTTGAGTCCTGCTTGGCCTTCGAGTGAACCACATCTTCTAAGCACACTTCCGAATGTCTCTGTTTATGGTCTGGGGCCTGAAGGCAGGAAGGTATACTTGGGTTCTTAAGAAAGGCCTACGAGACCACAAGCTAATACCGATGTGATCATAGGGAAACAGAACATTTTATAGACAAACTGAACTGTGGCAAGCCTGGAGTACAGCTCTATACATGAGAGCAGAGGATGAGGACAAGAGTTGCTCACAGTGGAGTGATGGTTTATAGTATGTTGGCAAGCTTTTTGATACTTCCTCATTTCAACCCTGACCTTAGGCCCCTCTGCTTCAGCATGAACTGTACATAGTATCTGATTCCTACTGAACAGTCTATAAAGTAGGTGTGATGGTCAGCGATCCCAACAGACCTAAGTAGCACGTGGCTTCACCCTCGTCTCACTGTCTCCTGGACACTCATTGAGCCTGTGGTAGAAACCCATGTGGAAAAGAACTGAGACCTCCTGTAAGAAAGTCAGTAAGGAACTGAGGCCCCCCTGGCCAACCCCCATGCTAGAAAGCCTCAGTCAATCTGGAGGTAACCAACAGAAACCGCCTGACATCTTCACTGCAAACTCATGAGAGCATTTCCTAAGTAGTTCCCCAAATTCTGACTCTCAGAAACTGTGAGCTAATGTCTTCTTTTTTTAAAGCCATTAGGGCTTGGGACTGCTCTGTGACACAGACTAATACATGGCCACAGCCTGCCAGGTCGGGCCACCAAATTTCACCCTGCCTGCAGTGTCCAGTAGCTGCATTCTCTTCTCACCTGATTCTCTGGCTCACAGAGCTCTCGCTCCAGATCTTCCACCACAGCCACCGCCTCCTCCCCGCTCTCTGGATGCTGCCCCCGCACCCAGGCCTGCAGCTCCCCGGGCAGGATGGTCAGGAACTGCTCCAGCACCAGCAGCTCCAGGATCTGCTCCTTGGTGTGGGTCTCTGGCTGCAGCCACTGGTGGCACAGCTCCCGGAGCCGGCTCAGGGCTTCTCGGGGACCAGGAGTCTCTTGGTAACAAAAGTGCCTAAAAAGTTGGCGGGAAGTCTCCTGCCCAGAAAGGCTGTTCTCTTGAAGGTAGGTTTCTTGGTCCCAGATGGTGTCATCCTCCACTTTCACAATTTTAAGGCCATCTGGCTCCTCTGTGGCAGCCATGCTCAGATGAACTAAAAGGCTCACTCCAGCTTGGTGTGAAAGGGTAACTGATTTAAGATTCCCGGATTTAGTTTTCTTAGGAAGATACACCTGATGGCAAACATTATGTATTAGTGGATATAATGAAGCAGTGGAGGGGAAGAAAGCAAAGTATAGGAAAAATAAAAATGCTAACATTTAATAAAAAGTACGTGTAAGATTTCATTGATATAGGCTGGGAAAAGGGTAAGGTAGGAGACATTCATGGCCTCCAAGTCATCACTTCTCCGGGCAGCATGCACTTGGCAGTGCCCTCCCTCTGAGACTGGATTTGGTCAAGGAGACACCAGAGTGTACTGCAAAAGCTAAAAAAGTACTTGTAGGATGGCATCTGCTCGCCCTTGCCTCTATGGTTGCCGGGAGGAGGCCTGCTGGCTTAAGATGATAAGACACACAAGATAGAACGAAATCATCCCCACGGAGCAGATGACATTCCCCCCCCCCCAGTCACCTAGCCCCTAACATGTGATCTGCTGTGCAGCCCCACCAGCTCAGCTAAGCCCCACAGATTCCAGTGCAGGGTAGACGTTTACTGCCGTACCCCATGACCAGTTCTGCGTTTGTGACAGCACAGTTTATGGCAAAAGAAGGGCAGCCACTGGGGAACCAGGCAAAGCTCCAAGAGAAAGGAAACTTAACAGAATACCCCCAGTAACTTTCCTGACTTTTGTACCATTTGAAATAAAGTGTTGATTCCAAGAAAAGAAATAAGCAAATAAATAAATAGTGATTTCAAAGATGGGCAGATAGTCGATATATAGTAACTTTAGGTCAAGAATAGGACATACCAGTTAAAATATCACATGACGAGCCTCTTTAATAGAGGCTCCAGGGAGCAAAGAGAAGGAAAAAATCAGTCCTAGGTATGGGGCCATAAAAGAATGTGACGCAGGAACAGGGACAGTAAGTTGGGCCACAAGAGCTGACCATTACTTGCTCAATGCTGCTTTTGATGTTAGAGTAACTCTTGCCATCCACACATGACTTGTAGATCAAGTACTTGCCTGTTCCCTTTCAGGAAATCCCTATCACCAAATTGCACAACACTGGAAAGATCAGGGCATGTTATAAAATTAATCAGGTAACTGTACAACACTGAAAAAGGTGTATCCATAAGTCTGTGGCAAGTCCCAATGTTGAGTCGTCCCGGCCTTCTGTGATTCGGTGTCCGGCTCGAGATGCACCTACAGAACTGGTGAGGGGTGACAAGTGAAGATGCTGCGATTCGGAAATATTAATAAGGGGATGCGACAAATACCGCGCACTTGGAACACGAGTTAGTTCATAGGGACAAGGCCGGACCGGCAGGGGGACGCCCTCCGTCCCTCCTCAGGTCGGGTTCCTTACAGAGGTCCCCCTATCAGGGGTCTCCCCAAGACGCCCCTCCCCGCCGACCCCACGGCCCGGACCTTTCCTCTCCCGGGAGCCCAGGGTCTGACACTCACCTCCCGGGTTCAGGCCGCGCCAGACCCGTAGCGGCGTCAAATCACCCCGACAACCGACGCGCCACAAAGGCCGGAAGTGCGTCACCGAGCCGCGCCCAGTCGCCGAGCAACCCCGTCCCCTCCCCTTCCGGTCCTCTCTAGGCGCTCGGGAGGCCGCTGCGTCTGGCGGCCACCGCCTTCGCGAGCGCGGAGCTCGAAACGGCCGGACGCCGCGCGAGCTCAGAGGCCATGGGGCCTCCGGAGTCCGGGGAAACGCCAGGGGGTCTGGTGTCCGGCCCCCGGGTCTGGTGTCCCCGAGTCGGCCCCCTGGCTCTGGCGTCTCTCACGAAGGTACATGGCGGGGAGGAGGGGGTGCAAAATCTGTGGCTGCTTTTATTTTCTGGACCCCCCGAGTCTGGGAGACGTGGGCATTGGACATAACGTTACTTGGCTTGGGAACGGCAGCCAGCGGCAGATAAATCCGACCTCCCTGGAACTGAGAAGCGCTGTAGACGTAACTAGAGGGTAAGTGGACGTGTCCGGCCGAGGAGTGTCCGCGCCCAGGACTCTGATTCACACGAAAACATCCTGTGAATTGTCGTTACGTCCTTCGCAAACGTGGCCAGCTGTAGGTCGAGGTCCACGCCTTGCTCTCCCTGCGCGACCGCGGGAAAGCCGCCCTCGCCGGCTCCGCCTGGGCGCGGGGAGCGGCGGACAGCGAGGCGGCGGGGTGGCCGCCGAGACCTGAAGTCAAGCCCGTCCCGAACTGAGTTTGGAAAACTGAAGTTGAAGCGAACTAAGCCTTACTAAATATAACCCAAAGCCCCATCGTGACCCAAGAGCGAAAGAGAAGTTTCCAGACATCATATATGCACATGAATACCAGGGGAATAAGAGCCCGTCAGGGAGCTGCTGGTTGTGGCTCCTGAGCCACCCGGTGAGTTCAGTTGTTCAGTTTTGCAGCCCAGAAGCCCTCCGGTGGTCAGCCCACAAGTGACGACCCGACCCCTCCCCTCCCGCCTGTGGGCTGCCCTTCCAGTGTCTCTGCAGCATGAACAGCGACTCTTCTCCCCATTTTCTGACAAAAGAGCCCCCCTGCGGGGTGCCGAGGGACCTGCTCTTGGCCTGTACTTTCCACAGCCGCTGTGGACGGGACACCCTCCCCCCATAGTGCCTGCAGCGGTGACAGGCGTGGAGGCAGAGTCATTGCATTTCTGGGATCAGTCGTGAAGCTATTGGCACAATGCCTGGTCCCCTTCCCCCCTAGGTACTTGCTAAGGTGGCTCCCCTTTGCCTTATCCTTGCCAGCTCTTGGTCCAGTGCCCCCTCTTCCGCTTTTCCGCTGTCATTTAGAGTAGAACACCCGTGGGGGCTGGGGGTGGGGGGGGTGATTCCATCGGTCCCTAGACCCCTGCAGCACCCTGAGTCTTTCATCTGGAGGAGTAAACCATTCTCACAGAGGCTTCCTCTGCTTAGCCAGCTGTTTTCATGGGGGGGGGGGGTTGTTTTGTTCTGTAGGGGGATGTTTTTAGTTTTTGTGGACATATTGTCCCACCCCTCTCTGACCTAACAGACCTGCTAACCAGGACTGCCTTAGACCTGGCTGGTGCTGGCTATTGGCTTAGGTGAGGACCTGAGCCTCCCAGTCTTCCTTCCAGTGCGCTCTGCCATTCCATGGCTTTATGAGCCGCATAGATAAGTGTGTGGCTGACGCTTAAGGCATGGCTGTGACTCAGAGGTGGCTCATGTCTGAAAACCACTGCTAAGCTAGCAGGTGCCCAGACCTTGCACTCAGAAACTGATTCCATCAGTTTTGGGGGGTAGGGAGGGTGGCGAGGACACCACACCTCACACAGGTAATTCTCTCATAGGTGTGTGAGAAACAGGCCTTCACCATAAGCACAGGCAGCTGGCATGGGATCTGAGTGTGTCTGATGAGCCCTAAAAACAAAAAAATCACAGTGACTTACAGATGTTGTTCTTCTCCCAGCTCTACTTTTCAGGGAAAGTAGGAACACGAGTCGGGAGTAAAGGGCAGTGAGACTGTTTTCATTGCTTCGCACACTGAAGACTCTCAGATCAGTTGAGAGGACAGGTTGCTAATAAGTTGTGTGAAGATGAAGCTTGTGTCTTGCTCATTCTGCCTCGACATCTGCCTTTTACTGTTTCCTTTGGCACCATTTATTGGCCTAACCCAGAACGGTTTTTCTTTTTCGGATTTATTCATGCACACCAGATCTGGGGTACAGGCCAGAGGTGAAGGGGGTGCGAGGATTCCCCAGACAGAGTGGGGAGCAGAACAGGCAGAAACACACTACTTAAACACACTGCTGAGGGGAGACAGGAGAGGTCTGCTGCATCCTTTGGGTCACTCCCTGGCAGGTGACTGAACTCTGGGCAGCTTCATAGTGCTGGGCTAACCCCGTGTGCCACCAGGCCGGGCCTGGCCTAGTCCAGAGTGGTAACAACTACTTCTGCCTTCTGATTCCTTTTTTAGGTCCTCACATTTTATTCCTTTTTCATGTATACCCCATATTGTTGCTGCTGTTTGCAGATGTCCAAAATGTGTCTGTCTACAGAACTACAAATAATTCATAGTGACTGTTTTGTTTTAAACATCTTTAATTATAATAAAAATAGATCACTGCAAGCACTTAACCAGTTTGAACTTCACTTTTCTCATGTGTACAAGATGGGCTAAACTCTAAAATCACCTTTAAAGATGATAATTCGGATTAAATAGAAAAGCTACAGCATGATAATATACTTTGAGATTCCGTGCTGCTTTTTATACCAAGGCTAGGTGCTGGAGCAGAGCTGAAGGCTGTCTCAAGGGCGCCTGCCTCACCGGGCTGCTCATCACCTCCTTGCGAACTCCATGACCGGGACTAGCTGGGAAACTCCTGCTTCTTGAGCAGATAGCAGATGGGCCTGGACTCTCCCTGTTTTGTCCTCCTAAAACATTTTCCTCTCTCCTCCATCTCTCCCTGCGCAGAATCGACTTTTCTCCCAACAACTAATTCAGTGTTGGACCAATGAGCCACATGTAAGTTTGCTTGTATATTTCAGACTTGCTCCACCAGAAAATACTTACATTTTATAATGAATTTTATTTTACAGAAAAAGTTTTTTTTAAAAAAAAACTTTTATTTTAAAATCTCCTTAGAGCTAATTTTCATCTTACTGGAAAACTATTACACAGTCTTGCATTACTAAATTATAGTTTCTTAATGTAGATAGGCTGTAGAACGATAGTTGTCAGCTACAGGAAGCAGGAGTCACTGACAGATACAAAATATGGTTGGGACATGAGTCTCCTGGCTCCCGGCCTTCAGCCTCCTTGAACTCACCCCTGGGGACCTGCAGGCAGCTGGAGGGGCAGTGTCAGGGGCGGCCCTGGTCATGGTGCGGCAGCGGTGAGAGGTGCCTCCTCCACAGGCAGTGAGTTACAGAGGTGAAGTGCGATCAGTTCTGAAACAATCCGGCACAATGCCTCGTCCCAGGGCACCATCTGCTGCTCCAGACACGTTTGGGTTGCGAGATTCTCAGCCATTGCTGAGCGAGCACTGTCCATGGTCCTGACGGTGTTCGGCAGGAGGAAGCCCCAACAGCCAGTGGTTAAACTCGCTTAGTTGGTTTCCTCTGCATGACTCAGCCATAAAACCTTGACTGGTGGTCCAGAAAACACTGAAAGGACATCAAGGCTAGAGACTTCAGTGGACACATAAAAAAGATGGAAGTCAAGGAAATTTAGAAACATGAAAAGGAGATAACTAAGAACTGGCCAACAGGACTAGAACAGTCCCTGGTCTACGTGCCACCATCTGTGAGTCAGGTGTTTCTAAACTAATAATAATCCTAGGGAAAAGCTTCACATAAGAAAATCACCACAGTATCAGAAAACAAGGGAAGTTAGTTTGGTGACCAGCAGTCGTTTTTAATCATGCTAAGCAGCAATGCATTGAATGGCACAACAGTCTCTACAATGCAGATAACACCTCTTGTTTCTTAGTGTTTTACCAGTTGTTGAGAAAAGTAAGAATTTTGAGTTGCTGGAAAAAAAAACAAGCAGAAAACATGTAACATTCATTGCCGCTTAGAGCTCTGTACATTAGAAATCTGTCCCTTAAAAACCTGATCTGTTCATGTAATGGAATTATTCAAACATTCTTTTTCAGCACATGGGAAAGTATTTATGATGCTTATGTACACAGATTATAAATAATATATTACTGATATTGGTACATGGAATCTGTATGTGCTGGAGAAGTTGATTTTATTCCAAATGTGAGTATATATGTTCCTTAACTTCACACTAAAATCTTGGAAATAATTAACCTTAAGACACAATAAGATATTCTTTTGGAAGAATTTAAGATTTTTGATAATATCTACAATTAGCTACAAGTAATGACACAAATAGGTTGACATGTTAGCCAAATAGTAACAAAAGCACATACGTGACAGGAAACCACTGCCCATCACAGCACTGCTTCGCCACAGAAGCGTCACGGGCCATTCTGGTGCCCGAAGCCTGTTTCCTAGCTCAGGTGGAAGTTGTTATCTTTTAAATAGAAAGACACGAAAGAGGAAAGAGTGTGCAGTAAGACAGACGTCATCTTAAAATAGTGAGTTTACATCTATAGTATGTCAAATATATGACAGAGCACCAAGACATAAAATATTATCCACTTTTATGATGGAGGAAATCTAGAGATTACAGTTTCATGAAAACAACAAAGTGTACAAGAGTATAAATAATATGTGTAATGGAGGAAACAGGATTACATATTTGTATTTCCTATTTTTACATCAACACTGAAAGATACATAAGAAACTGATGAATGGTCTCTGCGAGGAGAACAGGGACCTTTTAAGTATTAAAGAGTGACAATCACTATATATATTTAAAAAAAAAAAAAGCCTCAAATGAGGAGTGAGTGGGTAGTGTTGGCCAGAACTCCACTGTAAACAGAGAAGCATGTGTGTTCAAACATATGGATGGGGGGAGGCTGGGGGGGTTGCTGAGTAAAAAAACAAAATTCCCACGATTTACTAATCCCACAAGCTCCATATACCTGTAATTTCTTTTTGGTGATAGGATGTTTGTAGTAGCTTAGTGCACGAGGAGTTATAAGACCGGGTTCTACTTCCAGCTCTCTGAACTAACCGTGTGGTCTCTGGTTCTTTCTCAGAGCCTCTGTTTCCATATTCTGTCAAATGAGGGCACTGACGTTCCTCACAGTGTTTCTATGAGTCTGCACTTGGCATTCCAATCCAGATTGCTACTACCATCCAGTTTCCATTTTGTCTCCTGGGCTTAACAGAAAGCTTGATGCTCAATGTTAAGGTAACAAGTTTCTGTATGTGTGAACTAAGATGTTAATATTGAGAAGCCTGCACGTTAAAAAAGCAATCAACATAGGATTCATCATACTTTATTTTCTTTGAATGTTTTCATAGAAGGTGAAATGAAGAAAAAAGGCAAAAACTGAAAATGGTCATATGTCACAGTAAAGATACAAAGTCTCTATTTTCATAACAAAGATCTGAAAAGTGACATAGCAGATTTTTAGCAAAAGTTTCTTGGTATTTGCACAAATTTAAAATCAGGAACAATATTGTTACGATGAGTCACTGAGCCGCGAGTAACAAGGCTGGTTTAACTCCTTAGCTCCTCACTGAAAGTCGAGTACTAAAATTCTGTAGGGGAAGCCTTTTGTATATTTATGGAGGAGGCATCTTCTGTTTGTTAAGTTAAAAAGTAAACTGGGAAAGCCTGTGAAAATGGAAAATTTTCAAGTAGTTTACATTACAGATGTCACTGCAGCTATTTTTAACTGTTTGAATATTCAGTGAGCTACCACTGACATTATTTTGTATTCAGGCAACATATAATTTAAAATTACCATGAAGACTTGTCCTAAGTACAGCTAGAAAACCTGCCTGTTGTGTGTGTCTGTGCTGATCAAGCCAGCGCGACCCTATCGAGTAATGCAAAGCTGTATCGCTGAGCAGAGAGCTTGACAGATGTTGCAAGATACCATCATGCTTCTGTCAGCATAAAATCAGGACATTTGCACAGTTTTCCTTGAAGTTTCTCATCAGAGGACTAAACTTTGTCTCTCGAGGACAAAGAAGCAGCATCCTCGAGACATCGCCTCGACGTCAGGAAACCTTGCCCCGCTGTTGCACAGAGCTAGCTGGAGTCAGCCACAGGGTGGATTTTCCGATGCTGGATGAGGTTGCAGTGGTAAATGAAGTTCTTGCCGCATTCCTCACATTCGTAAGGTCTTTCTCCAGTGTGAATTCTCTGATGCTTAATGAGAACAGAACGTCGGCTAAAGCTCTTACTGCACTGATCACAGTGGTGAGGTTTTTCCCCAGTGTGGGTCCGGAGGTGGTGGAACAGCCCAGCGTTCTGGCTGAAAGCTTTGCCACAAACACTGCACTGGTAGCGCTTCTCCCCGGTGTGGAGTCTCTGATGCTGGAACAGGCCTGACCTCTGGCTGAAGGCCCGTCCGCACTCCTCACACTCATAGGGCTTCTCGCCTGTGTGCCTTCTCTGGTGCTCAATGAGAATGGAGTTCTGAGTGAAGCTTTTCCCACACTCACCACAGACATAGGGCCTCTCTGCTGAAGAGCTTCCCCGCTGCCTTTCCAGCCTGCCCTCGTGGTCAGGGGTGTCTCGACATTCAGGCGTCTGAATATCACCATTCAGTGTTCGGGGTACTTCTACGAGAGATTTCATTTCTTTAGAAAGTGCCTTCGTTGGTGCTAACTCCACGCTCCAGGCCCCAGCTGCTTCACCTGGAATCACAGAATCCCATGAGCATGTCTGCCGGCACCTTCTGACAGCACGTGCTCACGTCACATCTCTGCAACATACTTTGGTTTATTCTCTCAACACTTCAGACAATCCTATTAATTACATGTGATGCGGTGATCTGTGGTCTTTGATATTACCTTAGTAATTGTTTTGGGGTGCCCTTGTAAGCCAGTGAACTTAGTCAACACTGCAGCCCCACCAGTCAGCAGCATTACCAGGGTGGCAAGCCCCCCAACAGCCCAGGAACTAAAACTGGGATAAGAGCTAGCAATTTTTAGCAATAAGGAATCATTTGTAAGTTAAGGTATGTACATTGCTTTTTCTTAAAGACAGTGTTTTCACACACTGAGTAAATTATAGTGCAGTGTAAACATAACTTGTATATGCACTGGAAAGCCAGAGAAAGCGTGACTTGCTTTCTTGCGTAGTCACTTTGGGGGTGATCTGGCGCCCAGCCCAGTGTCTCCCAGGCTGCCTGCTCCTGGGGCCTTGGGAAAAGGTTCACTGTGTGGCAACCACTCCTTCACCGCTGCCCTGTCCCCAGGCTGCTCTTCACGGCACGGGGAGCGTGCCGACTCCGATCGCCACCATGTCCCACCTGGCATGCAGCAGAACTAACTGAGTATGTTGTTCTGTTGAGCATTCAGGGAATGAGGAAGTTCTAGTCCTCACCAGTCTCGCGAGCTGGGCACACCTCTTCCACGGTACTCAGACGCTGCTCTCGCAAGGCTTGCTGGTCGCCACCAGACAACTCCCGGGCTTCTCCAAGAGCTGCTTTCTCTTGCACAGGCTCTCCCCCTTCATGAGCATGGGCTGGGACCTGATGGAAATGAAGGACAGTTGGGAAGTGTCAGAGAAGACACTGCAAGGGGCTGTCTTGGGGCCGTCAGGGAGGAAACGAGGCCCAAGGAACTGACTGAGTGAGAAAAAGAGAAGTCAGAGCTGTCACACATCGAGTCAAGCATAAAGCACTCTCCCACCTCTCTTCCTCTTGTCCTGAAAGCCCACCTGTTTCTGCAGGTACGAGTCTCTGTTCTCCCACATTCCCTCCTTTGTTCCTGGTTCGTCCAGCTCTCGCTCCAGATCCTCCAGGACAGTCACTGCCTCTTCTGCATTCACAGGGCGACGGTCTCTCAGCCAGGCCTGCAGCTCCCCGGGCAGGATGGTCAGGAACTGCTCCAGCACCAGCAGCTCCAGGATCTGCTCCTTGGTGTGGGTCTCGGGCCGCAGCCACAGGCGACACAGCTCCCGGAGCCGGCCCAGCGCCTCCCTAGGCCCAGGTGTCTCCTGGTAGCAGAGCTGCCTGAAGCGCCGACGGAAGATCTCTCCGGAATGCAGGTTATCGCCTCCTAGGAGGCCAGATGCTTGCCCAGAGGCTCGATCCCCCTCGTGCTCTTCTACTTTCACCTCTGGAGTCTGAAGGGCCAACGTTGTGGCCATTTTAAGTATAAAATTCAAAAAAATGAAACAATTCTTCCTGAGTCCCCCTTGAGATCGTCTTCTGGAATCCCAAAATCTAAAAAGTAATTCAGAGAAAAAAAAAATTGAACAGTAGAAAAATCTTTTCTGTTAGCTGGCACTGGAAGTATTCCTGCCCATGCCAGCCATTCTGGCTAATGAAGCCACGAATCAGCAAAGGAATGCTCCACTGCAAATGCTGCGCAGATACCACAGGGAAGAAAATAGGAATGACCTGCAGTTTCAATGAAGGGACCACTTCTGATCAGCCTGAGTAAATCAGCTCACACAAATCAGCTTGACTACACCGAGTTTCCATGTGAACGGGAAGGTAGTAGTAGTTCGCATCAAGTTTCTCGCTGAATGGAGTTATAGTACGTTCGGCTCAAGTGGTTCCTAAAATTCATGGAGAAAAGGGGAACAAAACAGAGATGAGAGGGAAAGTAAGGGTTAAGAAAATCAGGAGCAGACACACACTTGGGGGCTGAGAGGCCTGCCAACACCAAAGCCCTGCGGAGGGAGCGTCTGGGGCTGGGGGCCCTCCAGCTGCTCTGCACTGGGGCTTCGCCCCAGGTCGTCAGCCCCTTAGGCTGTGAAATCCCAAATCAAAACACCAAGGTCAGGTGTTAAATTACAAGTGAACACTGATCACTAGAAGAAAAGTTAGATTCATATTGCTGCTCTTGGTGATACTCATCCATCTTTCCAGACTGATGTCCTCTCACATTTTTTTTTAAAGATTTATTTATTTGTACATACAGAACTGGGGTACAGGTCAGAGGCTCAGGGGCGGCGAGAGGCTTCACCAGAGACAGAGCGGGGAGCAGAACAGGCAGATGGACGAAGTACACTGCTGAGGGGAGCAGCGGGCGGGTCAGGAGAGGTCTGCCGCGCCATGTGGTCACCTCCGGGGCAGGCGGGGATCGAACTCATGCGGAAGTGGCTTTAGCTTCTCAGTGCTGTGCCCCAACCTGCTGCACCATCAGGGAGGGCCCCTCTCACATTTTTAAAGATAAAGTCACGCAGCACAAAGAAGCTGGCCGCTTGGTAAATTCTGAAGTGTTAGCAGTAGCAAGTACTGTTGGCTTTTTAATAGTTTTGTTGAAATATGAAATGGATGCTTCTAGTGACCAAAGTGTGAAGACGGAAGAATGAGGAGGCCTTGATTGGCACAGCCTGGGTTCAGAGACATTAAGAGGAAGGAAATAGTAGTTCTAATAATTTGAAGCAAAGATGGAGTCTGAATGAAGCCTTGCCCTTGAATTTCTTGGAATGTGTTTCCCCTTAAAGGAGGAGAGAGAGCAAAATAAAATTTTGTGAGGAGTGTGTAAAATAAAATTAGTACTAATAAAGAGACATGTTTATTAGCCAGGATAGTAATTAATGAAAGTAACTTTCTGAAAAATTAATGAATCGGTAATTTATTAGCACCATTTCTAGGTGGAGGCTTTCAATCTTTTTTAACCACAATTCCTCAGTAAGAGGCATTTCAAATACTTGATACTGATACCCAGAACACACATTCACATGAATAACACACACACAGTTGAAACAGTTCACAAAACTTGACAAATCCTACTGTATGTGATCCATGCTATTATTTTTATAATACTCATTAAAAAAGAAAAAGGTCCCCTAAGAAACTGGTCACAGCTCACCAGGAGCCTTCATGACCCACTAGTGGATCATGACCTACAAATTAAAATAATTTTAAATCTTTGATTATTGTTACTTCGAAAATAACCCCACGCTATTCTTAGGTACTGGCACACATGGCTAGTTTTTAAAAAGGAGACAGGTATTTAAATTACAAGCATGACTAGGGAAATGTGCAGTTCCTGTTGCCATTACAGCAAACACCAAAGAGGAACAGCCCCAGCGGTTAGGACAGCCGTGAGAAGGTTCCTGTTTGCAAAGTGCTTTGAACAGTGCCTGCCTGGCACATATAAAGGCTATTTAAATACTCATCTGTGTTGTTTCTCAAAGTTAACAGATGGCAGGAGCCTTACACTCGCGGCAGATTGTAAATCCATCCTTGCTGGTGTTGTCTCTAGGAGGAACGACAGGCGTGAGAGCGCCCCACTTTGCCCGGCCGCTGAACCCACTCTACCTCCAACGCGGAGTCCTGCGGGCAGGCGCCGGGGGAGACCGAGGAGCCGGGACCCGGGTGGGGGCGAGGGGGGCGGGCTCGGGGCCGGGCGCTG